CGGCCGTCCTCCCCCCGTCACGGATCCAGGCCCGGGAAGCGCCGGTTGAGCGCAAGCCCGGACTGGAGACTGGCGTTCACCCCGCAGGGCGGGCGGCTGGAGGGGCGGCTGAGCGCCCTCGGGCTCCCGGCCAGGGAGGGACCCCCAGGGCGCAGCGGACCCCGCCTGTCCCCCGCTGCTCCCCTCGGCAGTGGGTTGCAGGGGACCCGCCTGTCCTGCTCCCCACCCTGTCTCTGGGGAGTCCTCTCACCCCCTCCCACCTGGGTCTAGACCCCAGCTCTTCCACACAAAAGTAACTCTCATTTTTAAAAAAGAAAAAGAAATGGCTGAGGTGGATAATCTCGAGACAGCTTTTCTCGCTCTCCGGAGTCTGGGCTCCGAGGCCTGGCTTCACTGGGGTGTGCGCGGGGCCCTGGCCGGGTCAGCCTGGGGGCATCGAGTGTAGAGACGATCCCCTCTGGGGTGGTGTCGCCGCTGTGTCCCATGTGAGTTCCCTGTGGCCTCAGGGCTCGGTGGTGAGCGGCTGAGTTCCCTCGGCCGTCTCGCCTGGCGCCCGCTCCCCGGCGGGCTCACGGTCTCAGGACCCCACCCCTGGCCTTGGCACCTCCGGTAGCAGGAACGTAAGTGGCGGCCGGTGGCCCCCCCATACTGGGCGCCCCCCGCCGGGACCCACTCTCTCGCACTTAGAGCTCAGCCACGAGGCGTCTCGCCCGAGAGCGGGGGGCAGTGGGCGCCACTCGCCGAGGAAACGTCCTGACTTCGCCAAGCCCGTGGGCCTCTCCTGGGGGTCTGGCGCCCTTGGGGCCCCGGCTTGGAAGGGGCTGACGTTCGTCACCATGGAAACGGGGTGGGCGGGCCTTGGCCTTGGTCCCAGCAGAGTTCAAGGTGTGCCTGCGGGTTAGTGTGTTCCGTACCAGGCTGCCGGTCACTGCATCTCAAGAGCAGAAGCCAGTCGGGGAGGCGACGGCGCAGGGAGGTGCCGGGGGGCTGGGCGCGGTGGGGGGCGGCCAGATGTGTGCTGCTGGCGCAGGCGAGGTGCCCCCCACTCCCGATGGTGCCGCTTGACG